TTTGGATTGCTACTATTTGGAATGAAGAAGTGGGAGCCTGCAGGCACAATATTTTTATGTTTTGTCCAGCTGGCAATTTGTTCCCAGTTGAGGGCTGAGTGAGCCTTTGGCTAGTAAGCCTTGCCCAGGAAGCACAGAAGTACAGAATGCTGCTCTTCTCAGCTAGGGCCTCAGCAGGACTGCAGTCACAGCCAGTTGGAATCACGTTAGAATTCTACGTTAAGCTGGAATCCTTAAACCCTACAGGCCTTTTTTCTGCCTAGACTTCCCTCCCTGTTTCTCCTTCATTTCTTATTGCAAATCACAGTTCCTCTACTTTTTTTGTTGTTGTTGTCTTTCGTTTGTCAATTCTTTAAGGCCACCACTATCTATGTTATGGAATTTTTTTCCCACATGTTATCTCCATGCTAATAACATTAAAGTAGATCCCACAGACCTTGATATTTTCAAGTTTTTGCTGAAAATTACTAAAGGGAAGTATCAAGAGGCTTAAAAATAACAAATAGGAAGGCCTTTGAAATCTTTTAGCATCTCCCAAAGCAATTGGTCTGCCATGGTTTGCCTACTGCAAAGACAATAACCGTAAAGGTTTTATTTTCTAGCGTCATATCACCCAGAAGGTTTGGTTGCTCCACTGAACTCTCTTGCCATATAAACAGAATTGCAAAGTGAAATAAAGAAATGCATCTCCTGACATTCAGGACCTGGTCTAGAACTGTCAGCTAGGCCTTGAGGTTGTTTTGAGCTGGTGCTTCTCCTGTTTTAGTGTAAACAGTTTCACAGAGCATAAGCATCAGACATAGATTTTCCCCAAGTTTCTAGTTGCTTATGGCTGGATAATAATTCTGTACCTTCTTACTCTTTCTTATATATGTGGTTAGAGCCAAAGTCCTCTCATTACTTATTTTGATGTTGAAATTATTTCTGATTTGACCAGTAATTCAGCCTTTCATCATAATGATGTAATTGTTTTGAGCACTTTTCTAATTTTTGGCACACACAAAAAATTCCCAGGCTCATCTTGGACCTTCTTTTCCTTAGCCCCAAATAGACCATTTTTCCAAGAAGACCTAGTTCCTTTTAATGGGGAATAGTATTTAAATATTGTAGAGTTTGGGACAGAGAAGTGACATTCAATTTATATAAAATATCTCCATGGTTTTTCTTGGTAAATATTTTTATTGAAGTATAGTTGATTTATAATGTATTAATTTCGGCTGTAGAGAAAAGTGATTTATATAGCTGTGTGTGTATGTATACATTACATTCTTTTTAATATTCTTTTCCATTATGGTTCATCATAGGATATTGAATACAGTTCCCTTTGTTCCCTGTGTTGTTTATCCATTCTATATATAACAGTTTTCATCACCATCATTCTTTATTGCTTAATGTACCATACAGGCAAGTGGTAGGCTACAGAGATCAGGAAGGAAAGTGTTGTAATAAAACCACACACAGAAAATGATAGTGGCTTGAAGCAAAAGTACTAGTAACATCACCTCTCGTTACAGAGTAGGATTGAAAATTGACAGAATTCACTGAAAGATTATATATGAGTTATGAGATAAAATATGATATATGAGTACAGTATTATATATAGATATATATTATTATTATTATTAAGAGACTGAGGAGAGGAAACTGGGGTGAGAGTTATGCTGGTTAGGGGATAGGACCTGGAAGAAGATTTCTGTGTGCAGGTAGGGGCTGATATATTTGGGATCTTCTACCATTAGGACTTCCCTGGTGGCTCAGAGGGTAAAGCATTTGCCTACAATGCGGGAGACCCAGGTTTGATCCCTGGGTGGGGAAGACACATATGGGGAACGGCTGTCAGTCATTAAGTCATACATTAAAAAGTGGAGTCAGACTTCCAATACAGAGCTCCTTACAAGACGTTTTTCTCTCCAAGCAACTGGAATTATAGAGTTGCCATTAACACAGATGGAGAAGACTGTTCAGTGAGGAAGTTTGAAGGGGAAGAATCAGATTTTGAATTTAAGCATATTAAGTTTCAGAGTCTCTGAAGTTTACGTGGGAGTTTTTAAAATTTTGTAAATTGTTCTTCCTTACAAAATCAAGGGCTTCCCTACTGCTCAGATGGTAAAGAATCTGCCTACAATGCGGAAGACCTGGGTTCAATCCCTGGGTTGGGAAGTTCCTTGGAGGAGGGCATGGCAACCCACTTCAGTGTTCTTGCCTGTAAATCCCCATGGACGAAGGATCCTGGCAGACTACAGTCCATTGGGTCACAAAGAGTCAGACCCAACTGAGCGACTAAGCACAGCACACAAAATTAAACTGCCATCAGGAGGGTCACTGCCTAATTTAAACAGTATTTTTTTCTGTAAAAATGAACACAGTTTCATCATATCCTTAATATAAATCATTTAAACATATACACCCTACTTTTAGGTAGCTGATTTCTTTGGACAAAACAATAGGCATGGAAAATAATTTAGAAATAGTTAAATAATATTAGTTGATAACCTCCCTTGAATTTACCAAAAAATGCTGTGTATTGTTTTATGGATAAGAGCACATTATTGCAGTGAAATTTTCTTTATTAACCTAGAGGGCTGTCTGTTCAAATTAATCTTGTGTAATATTTGAATTATTATATTTTAAATTATGCAGATATTTATGTTTTATAAATGTAAAACAGTGATTCACATTGTGACTACCTTAAAATATTAGCTATATTGATTTTGTAATATTTTTCCTCATGTTTCCACTTAGAGACATGTCCAAATTATTTTCTTGTGTGTTTTAAAGGAATTAGATTTTAGCTTGACCCAGTTGCTTTGGAGAAAAACATCTTCAAAACCAGTAAATTTGCTTTTATTCCCCAGACAAATTGAAATTGACAGAATCAATACAAATGTCAATAATATAAAATCAAATGATCTAGTAATTTCTCAGGTTCTCAACAGATCCATGAGAAATAATGCATCTGGTAGTCAACACCAGTGTTTCATCCCTCGATGATCTTGTGTCTTATGGTAGTAGACCTACCACTGTTCTTCAAGTCAATGGATTTAAAAAATAATTCTGAAGACAACAGACCTGGATCCAAATTGCACTATTCCTCTTAAGAATTCAGCAAGTCACTTAATATCTATAATCCTCAGGTTTCTCATCTGTAAATGAGAGGGTTAATGTAACTGATCTCCATTTCTGTGTAGTTCAAAGATGCTTTAATGTTACAATTCTCAGTCAAGCTCTGTAATTGAAACAGCAAAGGTCTTTTGTCTTACCCTCCAATCTGCTGGCTGAACTGGGCACCTAAATAAAAATAGTTTAATCTTACACTGCAAGAAAGGAAAATGTTAGCAATGAACCTAGAAGACAGGAAAGTTTTGTTAGAGATAGAATGCATAGTTGAAATTTGTTTTCAAAGGCATTGCACGTATAAAGGCCATTTAATTAGGCAATCTTGAACATGCAGTCCAAGAAGAGCTTAGCACACAAAGTGGCTGGGAATTCTCAGCACCAGTTCTTCCCCGCTAATCTCTACCCGGCCTTCCATTCCTTTCCTGCCACTTCTCCCGTCTTAGCCATCTGTTTTCTAAAATGTGAGACTGATCGAGAACATAAAAGCTTTTCTATGAGGCTCTATCAGCAGCAGTTTCCAATTCTCAGAACACCTTCCATTAAATGTCTGAATCACCTCCCTCCTCTAATCCACACTAGTCCTCAACCTCCAGACACTCTCTCCGGCCATGGAAACGCCCATCTAAAAATGAAGTAGGAAGTGGTATTACCAGGTCCCCTCACTGGCCGACTAGGGAGGAAGGAAAACAAAAATTCAAGTACTATAGAGTCCCAAAGCAAATGGGAAGCTGACATCACCACATTAAAACTTTTCCTACTGAAATATTGTCAACCACGGTGGTTATGTTCTATTGAAATATTAGAGCAGAATATTTATCACTTGACCGTGCCTATTGAACTAGTTTATTATTTCCAAAACACTTTAACTAATTCATTTGACTTATACTTACTGAGTGCCTGCGAATGTTCAAGCACTCTTCTAGTGTTAGAAACCAGAGGTCCCCAACCTGTTTGGCACAAGGGAACGGTTTTGTGAAAGATAATTTTTCTGTGGAGTGAGGATGGGGGTATAGTTTCCAGATAATTCAAGCCCATTACATTTATTGTACACATTATTTCTATTATTATTACATCAGCTCCACCTCAGATCATCAGGCATTAAATCCCAGAGATTGAGGATCCCCAATATAAACAAGTCTCTCTAATTAGTTTAACTTTTTACTATTATTTTTTTTCTTTTTTTTTGATCAGTAGACTAAAACTCATCAAATATAGGAATGATCCAAGTCACATAACTGATGACTTATCAGATCAGTTCAAACTCAGGCATGTAAAAGCATCTTGAAAGTTTGTAGAAAAGTCTTTATGGATAACATTGCTTTGTAGGAAAATTGCTCCTTAAGTTCCATATAACTATGAAATAAATAAGCATTTTGGAGGAAAAAAATCTGTTGGAAGCTTATATATTAGTTGTATATGCATGCCCCTGCTTCTGAGGAAGTGTGATATATGTTTGGCTTCTGATAAATAATGGAGTGCATGGATACTGATGGAATGTACCTTCAAATACCCCATGTTACATAAGTTCTTACTACCCTGAAGATCTTGTTTCAGGATTAAAAATAGAAAGCCTCTTTTTGGTTTTCAGATCTGATTTATCTCTTTGAGGATAGCTCACAGGACATGCTGCATTTGAGGACGATTGGAATACATTCCTAGATCAATAAAATGATTGATTTCATTTTGAATGATGCTTGTGAATGAGCTATAGACCAGAACCCTAGAGGAGATTACAGGAGAGAGAGGCAGAGGTCAGACACCCCAGACTCCTAAGAACACCATGTTTTTTCACATGTTAAAGGGAATCTACTCTCCCTACTTTTTAATCTCGTGAACATGGTAGGAGTGTTTCCTCATCCTTTCTGTTTGTTTGTTTGTTTTAGGTTACTGTCCACTTGGCTATCGGGAATGTCAGAATGGCAAATGTTTTAAACCGGAGCAGAGCTGTAATTTTGTAGATGACTGTGGAGATTATACTGATGAAAATGAATGCGGTGGCTCCTGTACTTTTGAAAAAGGCTGGTGTGGTTGGCAAAACTCCTTGGCTGAAAACTTCGATTGGGTTTTGGGGGTTGGCTCTCCACAGAGCCTAAGACCCCCCAGAGACCACACACTTGGAAATGAAAATGGTAGGTTATCAGGTTGTTCCAGTTACTCTAATCTTATTCACAGTGAGCATCACATTGTCTTTCCTGAGAGCATCAGAGAGACCACCGTGGTGCCAGGGCAACTAAGTCAAACATTTAATGAGTACCTTTGTCTCCCAGGACTGCATAGCAGACAGCCTCAGATGGGGTGGTGTTAAAAGCAGACATTTATTGTCTCACAGTTTGGGGGCTAGAAATTTGAAATCACGGTGTCAGTAGGGCTGGTGGTTCCTGTTGAGGACTTTGAAGGAGAATAATCTATTCCTTGCCTCTCACTAGCTTCTGGTAACTACAGACGCTACTCGGCTTGTAGTTGGGACTCTCTTCCTGTCTTTGCATTGTTTTCCCTCTATGTATGTCTCTGTGTCTAAATTTTTCCTTTTCATTCCAATAATCTTATTGGACTAGAGGCCACCCTCATGACTTTATTTTAACTTGATCATCAGCAAAAATCCTATTTCCAAAGAAGCACACAGTAACACGGATAGAAGTTAGGACTTTCACATCTTTTGGGGGGGGCACTGTGTAATATATAACAGTGAGTAATTAAAATTGAATATTGCTTTGATAATTGTAGATAGATGATAACATAGGCTGCCCTCAGGTACCTTTTCAAAATGACACATTTGTAATCAATAACCTTGAATTCTACTATTCATTTGATCAGTGGCAAGTCATGTAACTTTTCAGATTCTCAAATCTCTCCTCTGTCCAGCAGAGATAATAAAATTTGCCCTGGAGTTGTCAAGATCAAGGGCGATGGTCTGTATTTGGGGACAGGCAGTTAGAAAGCCCTAAAGGTGCTATGCAGATGTAGCTGTAAGATCATCTCTGTGAAGGGTGCTTGGAATGGCTCATTTTTACAGTGAGCTGAACCTATTTCTCAGATTCTTTGGTCAAGGGGCAAAAGACATTAGCAGAATAAAGAAGGGATCTTGAATTCCTGGCTGTTACAGAGTAGAATAAAGGTGTTTAAATATTGAAGTTTCACAGGCCTATGATAAAATAGGGGCTTCCCTAAAGAGCCCACCTGCAATGCAGGAGACCTGGGTTCGATCCCTGGGTCAGGAAGATCCCCTGGAGGAGGGCATAGCAACCCACTCCAGTATTCTTTCCAGGAGAATCCCCATGGACAGAGGAGACTGGTGGGCTACAGTGCATGGGGTCGCAAAGAGTCAGACACGACGGAGAGGCTAAGCACACAGCACATGATAAAACAGAGCTCTCCAAGCCAGACCAACCATGCCAAAGAAAGGAAGGTCTGAGTCCCATTCTAACACTCAGCTCTACATACGTAAAATGTTTTGGACATTTGGATAAATAAGCCAAAAACTCAGTATCTTTCCTTGTATGTTGTATATTAAAATTCTCAGCATTTTATTTGTGCACTCAAAAGGTGACTTTTTGAAAGCATGTCATATTTCTCTATTTATATTTCATAGACAATCTTCGCATTGTTTCACAGTAACTGGATAGTTTGGGGAGTCCATGAAATGATTTCTGTAACTGTCTCATTGAGTCCTTGGCATAAATATTCTGTCAGATCAGTTCATCTGCACACTGTGAAGTGCTTTGCTAAAAGCACAGACAGTTGGAAATTGTTCTGTCAGTGAGCTGGAGGCAAGGCTATTAGATTTCCTCTCTCTTTCAAGTAGAAACATCTTTGGCAGTTGAGATCCTATGAAATGTAATTAAAAACCCTACGATAGAAAAACTAAAATGATCCTGTCCATGTTATTTTGGCATGCTCTGAATTTCATCTTGTTCCCAGGCCACTTCCTGTATCTGGAAGCTACTCCAGTGGGCCTGCGGGGCGAAGAAGCCCACCTCAAGAGTGGTCTGTGGCAAGAATCCAGTGCTGCCTGCACCATGAGCTTCTGGTATTTCATATCCACAAAAGCCACAGGGTCCATTCAGATCCTCATTAAGGTAAGATTTCAGTTTGTGATGCCTCTGAGCTTCGCGAAGTTTCCTACAGGCAGCACATGGCCAAAGGGAGTTTATCACAACTCTGCTGACCTGGCCCTGGGAGGCCTCCTCCCATCAAAGGGTGATGCTGTTTATGGTTCAGATGTTTTGGGGAATTTGGTAAACTGGGCACAGGAACCAGCTTTGAGCTCAACATCATACAACCATCACACAACAGGTTGTAACACAGGTTGTAACTGACTCTCTGAAACTCTTTGTGGTAACAGTTAGTCGAAGACCCACAAGTTTCTTCACTCTATTTAGATATTTCCTTGCCCATCCTCTTCACTGAAAGAATCTAGATGATTTATACATCTGAAAGGAGAGTAGCTATCCATTGTAATTAATATATGAATGATCATTAAAGAAATTAATGTGAAACATTCTGGTCCTAAGTACAGCATACAAAGGACAGGACTGCTCAGGAGAATGATCAAGGTATGATTACATTGAACCGCTTATTAACTATGACACAGTAATGCATTTTCTTACTGTGGATTAATTAGATGTTTCTGACAGGGCTTTAATTTAGTTTAACAGAGTGACAGTGTTCGGGAAGCAAAACAACGAAGTATATATTAATATTAATGAGACTTGGTTCATATACTTTGACTCTTTGGCGAGTCCCAGCAGCAGCAGAAAGGAGGGGTGTGTGTGTATATGTGTGTGTGTGCATGCATACATGTATGCCTGCATGTATGCACACACGTGTGTGTTCATTTCAAGAATCTCTTTAGAATTCCAAGAAAGCTTACTCTGAAAACATGCTTTGGTGAAGTGCCCCACACTGATGGACAATGCCTGACCAGAATATCAAAGGCCTCATTTGTCTGAATAGCTCATGGCTGCATAGTTCATGTTTTATCTGAAACCTGAGTTAACTTTATAATTTAGGACCCTTCTATAATAATGCAGAAAAGCCTGCCTAATAAAATACATGCAGAAAATACCACAATGATTTATTCTTATATTTAAATATGGAAACTTACTGACATACAGTGCTTAAAGTTCTTAGAAGAGTATTTTCCAGTACTCTGTTGAATGTGATGCTGGGTTATATGGTCTGTACTGTTAAATGACAAAACTTCAACTGAGTAAATTTAAAGATCAAATTGCTTTGTTGAACGATTCATGAATTGGGCAGCATCCCATGTGGCAGATAGAAAGGAATTCTGCCAAGTTATAGAAACAAAAAGGTTTTCAAAGGCAGAAAGGGTGCAGGAAAAGGAAATTATTAGCCAAAAAAAAAAAAAAGCATTGTTTCAGGGAAGGTCCCCTCCTAAGGAGGATGGAAGGGTTCTGTTGGACAGATAACGTCTCTAGTGCTGACTAGTTAAGATTACATTCCTGACGGAAGTTGAAACTGCAGTTAAATTAGTTATTACAGTCTTAGCTTGCTGTCATAGTGCTTAGTACAAGTGACTCCATTTTGAGCAAGTTGTCAAAAGTGCTATGTGAAGGGTTTGATTCACTGGATTTTGCTTTTATTATTTGCTTCACTCACATTTACATTTCTCTTCTCTTATAGTAACAAGCTTTGGCTTTACTATAAAATTATACTGATTTGACACATATGTCTTCCTATCAAGTCACATCGAGCTCCCATATTCCTCCCAATTCCTCTGGGCATTTAATAGCAACTTTAAAGACCTATATTCCTATTGTATTTAAAAAGTGCCTATTATTATTTACTTACATTTATTACAAAGAGAAATCTTTCATACCATATATTTTATATTCATGAATTAGGGCAATCATTTCACTTTGGTAATTAACACAATATATATTTTTGATCATCATTACAAAGTACTGCTTAGGCTTCTGTCTGTGTGGAAGCATGTTGGATTTCACCTCACTCATTAGTTGGAAATCATCCTAGCCAGATGGCAAACACAACAGGGTTATGAATGCTACCTTTTCTTTCTTTCTGTACGCCGTATCCTTTGACATGGTCCCAATATATGCATATGGTGCCCCAGCCCAGTCTCCTCTATTTTTTCTCAGGAATGCCTCCTTCTGTGTTCCCATGTTTTCCCTCCACATCAAGTCCAACACAGTCGGGTAGATTCAGCCTTTCACAAATCTTTCCTTGACACTTTTGCCAACCATGACTATTCCTTTTGCAAGTGTCCCTCACAGCACCAGAAATTCTTCCTGATGACTGACTGTTCATTTATATTTATACTATTGCAATAGATACATCATTACATAGTCAAGGCAAAGCCTTGAGACTTAGTTCTTTTGTCTGTCTCAGCTCTTCAGAGAAGGGACTGCAGGATGAAGGGATTAGAGGAAAGGAGTGGTGCTTCCCCAGAGGAGTCCATCACTGGGCTCAGGACAAAGATTGTTTGGGATAATCCTTGCGAAGGAGTGGCCATTATGCATTATGTGCATGACATTAAAGTCTAACCTGGAGAATCTGTAATCTAGGTCTGAAGTATATACATGCATCCAGATGCAAAAGGTGTGCAACCACTGACCAATAATTTAATAACAATATAGTTCTAAAGGGTAGTGTTGTTGATTACAATTCATAACCACAGTAACACATACTGAGTCATGTCTTTTTCTGCATATAATAATAATTCATTTTTGTTTTTAAAATTTATTATTTTTATTTTTAATTGAAGGATAATTGCTTTACCATGTTGTGTTGATTTCTGCCATATTACACCATGATTCATTTCTAAACTAGTATGTTTGCTCTTGATATCATCTATCATTTTTACCTACCTTTTAACTCATACATTCAGTATGAAATTTCTCATTAAATTTTAGTGTATTGCTTTTGAAACCATCTAAGATTTTAAAAATATGAAACAAATGCTCAGGGGTAGAGTTAGATTTCCACAGCGTGAAAGTTAACTTGTTTTTACAAATATATTTAATTTTACACATTTTTCAAGTCACTTTTTTCAGATGGAATTAATTAATGATGAGTAATATGTTGATTTTAATATGTTAAAAAGAACTGAGGGAATTTTAAAGTTTACATGCATTTGCTAAACTGTTTTCATAGGTAAAAACTCTAGTCTCATCAAGAAACAAAAGGACTTTACATCTTTTCAACTAGTCTTGTGAATAAAATGAAGAAACACCTGCTACCTGAAGGGCATTATTGTGTTTTGGACCAACTCCATCTGTGATAAACTGTTGATATTTTAATCAAGATGACTACATGCTGTAGGGAATTTGAATCTATTTAACTGAAGGTCTTCAGGACTATCCATTATGCCATTGTGATAGAAAACATAATGTATTCAAGCCTGAAGTGGAGGAAAATAATGTATTTCAGGAGAGCCCTCCTGATTATAGCAACCTAGTTATGCTGAAAGATCATAATTAAATTAGCTTATTGCTTTATCTTGCTTAGTGATTCAGAGAATTTTCAGGCTGGTAAGGTCCTTCGAAGTATGTTTAAACTATTCATTTTACAGATGAAGGAACTAAGATTATGAGGTTGTCTTTCTTGTCCCAGCTCATATGGTATTTTAAGAAAAAAGTTAAGACGCAAATCCAATTTTCCTGACTTCTGATTCAGAGATCTTATGTGCTTGACTTCCTGGAAAGTCTATCTAAAAATCATATTCAGTATGGAAATACAGATTTTGTTCAGTAGGCAGTGGAAAATGTCAAATAGACAAAGGAAAGGCCAGGTTCCTTTGCCTACTTGGAAGAACTGCCTACCTGGCAGTTCTGGTTCTGGTTTTACCCTCAACCTAGCAAACAAGGAGCTTCAGTTGGGTGTAAGGGTCCATTGACAAAAGTGAGCACCTCCATCCTTTCTCACCCACCACTACCCTGTCCCTGGAGCATGCACACACACAACCCCACAGTCCTAATGTGAGATTTACAGCTTATTCCTAATACTAATGTGCCTAAGAGAATGTCAGACAAGCTTTCGTACTTAGACATCTTTTGATCTTTTCTGCCTATTGAATATCTGATGCTATTTTAGTCACATTGTTGAGATTTGATTCATTATTTCAGAGAAAAGGATGTAGAGAATATGGAGAGAGGGATACATAGCAGTTGTATAAATTGATTTTTTCAAAGCCAGTCATGTGCATTGGGAGCTGTAAATTCATTTAACTAAACTTCAGTACCAGAACTTTACTTTTCTGGAGTTGTTTCAGTGTGTTAACAATTCAATCTGTGTAGTTTGGTACTATTGTATTATTGATCTTAACCAAATCAAGGGAGAAAAGTTGATCTTTGCATTTCAAACTATAGACTTGCAAGAGAGCAACACACCCAGAGTTTGATTAATTAGTAGTCACAAGATCACAACACCATGGTTTATGTAAAAAAATGTTCCTTAGAGAACATGGCAGTGTTTTTTTGTTTGTTTTTTGTTTTATTTTTTAAAATTTGTTATTATTTTTTTTAATTTGGAGAAAAACTGCTTAAAATTTTGTGTTTATTTCTGCTGCACAACAATGGTCAACGTTTATCCTCCATATATTTTTGGCTAAGATTTTTTTCTGAACTTCTCACTACTTATTTCACATCTTCTATCTCTTTTAGGTACCTCTACTGCTTCCCACTAGGCAGCCAGTGGAGTCCCTTCCATTAAGATTTCTATTAAGAGACTAACAACTTAGTTAATTAGTTTAATTGATCCTAGAGTTTTACTTTTCAAGAGACTCTTATGGTCAGCACTGAAGATTGTCCTTTTAACTACCATACTGCTGTTTCACGTCCATTTCTATTCCCATTACTGCAGCTGCTCTTTGGACAACCCTCTAGTTATTGACTGATTTCTTTCTTCTTTTTATTAATTAAAGTATAGTTGATTTGCTAAGTTGTATGTTTCAGGTATACAACAGAGTGATTCAGTATTTTTATAGGTTATACTCCATTTAAATCTTTATAAAATAATGGCTTTTTTCACTATGCTGTACATTACATCCTTGTATCTCATTTATTTTACACCTGGTACTTTTTACCTCTTAATTCCC